AAATGGATTCTGCTCCACCGCCTACTTCCTTTTATTCTTCAAGCCATGACGAGCCACATCTGTGGAATTCTGTATCAACTCTTCGGCACCAGCTGTGGCTGAAAGTCTTCCACTTTAGTTGAAATTAAGAACAGATTTGAGGGCCCTCTACCTGCTGTGGAGTCCTGATGTAGTTACCAAAAACTGCAAATGGTGAGAAAATCTGGAACTGCCTGGAACTGTTAGGATGTGTTCTCCGATACTTTTGCCTCACTGTGAATCTGCACTAACTCTGTGATGGGAAGTTATTAGTGTCGGTATCTTTGTTGTCAACCAAGACATGTGCACAACACTCAATGAAGGAAACCCTGCGTTGCCATGAGAATAGGATTATGGGTCATTACAGAGTTTTCTTCTGAGCAGAAAACAAGGAAGGATTGTTAAAAGAGCTGATTCCCCAGGAAGGGTGAGGTTTCTGCCCCTGGGAAAGGTGAGGAAGGCATTCTCTGTGTCACTTACATGGGTATATTTTGCACAAATCTTGGAGAGATGCTTTGCTGATTATTAAACTATATAAAAATTCAAGTGTGGCTGTTGAAGGCGTCTTCAGACTCGTACACCACAGAGAGATGAAGAAATTGTCACAAAAGTCTTTCCAACAGCATTCAGGTTTCCTTCATGACTGACTAAAGCTGAAAGCTCAAGACAGAGTGACCAAAATTGTCAAATTTACACAAAAGACAGCACCAGAGAAAGCTGTGCAGGGAGAAGTGATCTTGGTGTAAACATGGGAGAATCCGGGCGTCGATCACATTAGGGGTAATGGTGTGTGTGTTTAGAAGTGTGCAGTGTCTGTTTTACAGCCACAATATACATCACCTTCCAAAGAATTAAAATTTAAGAAACAATTGAGATCATCTACTGTACCCAGAGTAGAAATATTCTGTTGGTTGACTTCAGATTCAAGCAGTCTGAAACCATTTAAAAAGACTATTTAAAACATAATCTCCATTGCCTCCCATCAGGGCAGGGGATCACCATATGTTCAATTTCATACTGAATCACTCATGCCGATGCGCTGTTTTCCTGTATAATCTAAACATAGCGTATTCTCTGAGTCTCCAAGTTCTGTGAAAAGGAAAGATTTTAGGAAAGAACAGCACGTTAGGATTGGGGTAATATTTTTGAAGCCAGCAGTGATGAAATAAATAGCCAATTTTCATTTACACGTGAAATTACTACTCCAAATATCATAAAGGCAGGCAGCAATGAAACTTCTCCTAAAAGTCTTTACCTAGGAATATTTACTGACCATTTAAATCAAATTTATCCCCAATCCACTCTGAAATCCGTAAATTTCAGTTCGTTCCGAGAGATTATCCCAAGACTTATGTGCACAACGTCCTTCTCCTTTTTCAGATATAATTTATAAAATCCTAATAAATTCACACAAAGACTTAACATTAAATATTTACTAAGTAGTGCACTTACATTTTTGAACATGCATATTTAATACATATTTTTAGCTTGTCTTAGAATTCATACTACAGAGAGTTTCACTTTCAGCTTTTAGACAGATAAGGCCTCTTCGGGGTTCTTTTTTTTTTTTTTGTATGTATTTGTTTTTCACTTGTAACTATTCTTTAATGGAACCTCTTAAGAACTTTTCTGATCTAAATATTCAGCAATCGTGCCATCGCTTGACTTATGCAGACAAACCACTGAACACTGTTTCATTAAAACGCCATTTTCCTTAGCGTGAAGGAACAAGAGTCCCAAATACTGAACAAGTAACTCCTTAGCCAATAACAAGGGAAAAGAGGCATTTTTCTCTCCATCTATTTCATTAAGCAGAATTATTGTCTGTTATAAAGTTATAAATAGCCAAATACACATTCAACCATCAGTCCATTAATATTGCTGACTACTCTCCATCCAAATATTGTAATTTACCCAAATGCTTCAAAATAAAAGGACCTCTCTTGGGGATTTCAGGGATTTATATTTTGTGTAGAAACAGTGTCCTGAATCCTTAATGGTAACTGTAAATGTTTGAAGACTTTAAACAGCTGAAATTTTGACAATGCTAAACAATATAAGAGCTCAAATCTTTTGTTTTTATATCATTTTTTAAAATCGTGTGTTGTTGACAAGTGAACAATAACGTAAACACATTCCCACTCAGGAATGCTGCTCTCATCAGTAACAAAACCCTTCTCGCCCTCAAACTGCCATTTTCCAGGATGTAACTCTTCCCGCCTCTCAAGTTACAGCCTCAGAATCTGCGTGTGTTGTAGAGAAACATGGAAGAAAGAAAATATTTTAAAAGCACAATATTGTTTTAGAAGCCGCATAGCCCTGAGTGAAATTACCTGTGGCTGATAAGTGGATGAGAGAAGGGAAGTGAGTCCTGAAAATCACAATTTTACGTGGAGGAGTTTGGACGTTTGCTCGCTGTTGATCTAACTTGTCAATTTCCAACACATGGAAGTTATTAGTGCAAGACCGGAGTTTTAAATAGACCCAAGAATTTTTACCGTGGACTCAAATCCATCCCAAAATACTACAAAAAGTATTAAAATTTCAAGTATGGCAGTTTTAAGCTCTTTTGGGGGTGAGTACACATATATGTGACAATATGTCTGTATATGACATTTACATCCATATAATTAGTTGCAGTGGGGGATAATTTTATTTGTGAGTTTTTACTCTGCATTGTAATGAACTGTGGGCACTGCAACACTTTTCCGTGAATCCGACTTTAATTTGCTTGTTCCAGAATACATCCCACTTAGGCATTCACGCTGAAAGCAGCAACAATTGCCAACGACCTTTACCAGGCCTGCTATCCAAATGAGTGCGCAGCATGAATCACATTTTATGAGTAGGGGTCCTTCACAGCCCTCTTGTCCCTCCCTGTCTCTCTACTCCCGGCTTCCTTCCTCGAGACATACGCACATGCACACCCATCACACACACTGCACTCACAACACACACGCAGAATGGCCCCAGGGCTGAGTCCAGCTTTGCCCGCACAAGCCCCTCCCTTGGCGCCTGTCCGCAGTGGTTTCTGTTGTAGATGCCCTAAGTTGGAGAGGGCCGAGAGCCGCAGCAGCCTTGCGTGCTAGCGAGTGGTAGGCACCGGGAGAAATGCCACCGCGGAAGGTAACGCCTGGACTGTGGCGCTGCCTCTCCAGCAGAGCTGCGTCCGTGTTCTGGACGGGATCCACCTTCACTGCGGGCTTGTCGCGAGGAGGGCACGGCATGGCCCGGAGCCTGGTAGGAGAAGATGTCGCTACCCCTCCGCAGGCCACCGCGCCCTGGGTCTACGTCACCGCCAACTCAGGGGGCTCCCCCTCCCACAGCCTCCCCCCTTCTCCTCCCCTCTGCCCCCTCCCGCCCCTTCTCCTTCAGCACCCACCCCACCCCCCATTACAGCTTTCTGGAGTCAAATGGGGATTTCTATTCCCAGACTCAACTTAGCGCAACTAACTACGGCCCACAGAGAGTAGCAGTTGGGATGAAAAAAATGGAGTTTGAAAAAACAAAAATTAAAGTTGAACTTTTCAAGGAAAAAAGTAAAAAAACAACAGTCATTAAAAAATTGCCACACAGCAGATTCCTTGTAGTGAAGTCTTTCCAGGGGGACCCCATCTTGATTCTGGACTTCATCTGCCGATACTCTGCGTCTGAAAACCCCTGAGCACATTTATCAGGAAGTTGGGTGAAACGCACGCCCTCGGCGGTCTGTAATGCACGCGCGCCCGAGACCCCCGGAAGGATACCCTCGTGTAAATCAGGATCGAGGCTTAGCGCTCAGGTGCCCTGGTCGGCTGAAAATGCATCCCCAGCACGTAGGGATGCGTGCATGTGTGTGTAGCCGTGTGTGCGCGTAAACAGCTTCCCGTAACTGGATCTGCGGCAGCGCTGGTCCTTGGGAGGAAGGGGCGACAACGAGCCGCTGGGATCGTGATTCAGTGCTATTAGGAGAAGAATTATCTGTGTCTGAGTCATCGCGAGCCTCCAGACTTTCCCCGCAGTGTGGCAGAACTTTGTGCTGATG